TTTAAAAAATTGTCTGTAGTGAATAATAAGGATGCTGTCTGTGTATGAAGCAATCCAATATAATTAATCAACCGCTAGGTTTTTCTCAATAATTAAATATTTTGTGCTCTCTGAAAACTATTGTAAATGTCCTTATTTGTGACAGATTTTAATATCTCTCAATAAAAAAAAAAATTTAATGAAGAGTACCCACTTTATAGAGGCTGGGTGTGTCCCAATAGGATCTCAAGACCCCTGGATCGATCCACCGTCGACGAAACAGAATAAATAAACTATCTATAATCAGCCGAATTTGAAAGTGGGATCTCGAGAAAATCAGCGCCCTGCCACTGAGCCACACCACTCTTTAATAAATAATGCTTTTAGTAATAATTGTTTTCTTGACACATTCTTACATTTAATAGCTGTATGCAGTTTATTGCATGTAGTTGCACAGACCACTCACAGAAATAATTATGTACTAGTAAACAAAAATTTGCTATTTAGAGAGACATTTCCTATTTTCAGACAACACCAAATAACTTTATATCGAGCAGAACTTACTAAATAATTGATATTTATTTAAAATAAAAATAAGCCGAAAGCTGACATATTAAACATCTATCTCAATAATTTTTTACATAAATATTTAATTTCTTTTAATAAAAAAAGAAAAATAAGATGAATAAATATTTAAATGTGGATGTCCTCTACTCATGTTCCTCCATGATTTATTTCACCATTCATTGATTCTTAATATTGTTTAAATTGTTGTTTTAAGAAGAAAAAAAAATTGTTTATAATTACAGTGTTAATTGATAGTCCCACTTTCGAAAGATCAATTCAGCAACGGTTTTTACATAATTATAATTTACAAAACTTCTATCCTGGCTACTTTTCCTGTAATTATTCTTGAAATGTAAATGTTACGAATTTTCAATGGATTATCGACATGTTTAATGCTAATTAATAAGTAATTAATTTCACCTGAGTACTAATTAGCTTTTTGAGCTATGGTACAATAAGTAAGTTAATAACTATAATTATAAATTATAGCGATTGGTGGTTTTAAAAAGTAAGCTTTACTGTCTGTCCATTTCCACACAGAACTATCTTTTCGTTGAACAGCTTTTTTTTTTTTTATACGCGGACAGAGTAAGAAAAAGAAAATAGTCTGGACCAAACCAGACGTGTCTGGAGAACTAGCTCCAAAACAGAAATATTTTTGCTTTCTGAAACAAAAACTGGTTCCCAAAGCTTCGTAAACATCCGCCCGAGTCACATAACTCATTCGGATATCGACTTTTACCAGAAAGATTTGGAAACAGTCCGTTCAAAACAAGGTATTATTCGAAAACTAAAAAAAAAAAAGTTTATAAATGGAAATGCCACCTTGTTTTCTCTTTTCTTTTTTTATTACTGTATATTGGCAGTAAAATGATAATTTAACAAGTATTAGAACGATGAAAGTTTTTTTAATTGAGTTAGAAGTTCCTATTACGTACAAAATAATGTGTTAATCAACATCCTCACAGAGCTGTATTAATGTTGGTCGAACAAATTCTTATTAATTTTATTTATACTTAAATTTTGTTTATAATACGCTCGACTACGAACCCTAAAAACTGTAACTGGAGATAATGCATTCATTTTTTGAGATTTTTTATTGTTGCCACAAAAACTTTTACGAGTGTAGGTGGGTCACTCATTTAACCCAAATATGATTAGTGGTGCTCCATTGAAAAATATCAGACACAGGTCCTGGCATTCGTTCCAATGTGTCGTAGCAAAAAACAAATTAATTCATTTGATTTAAAAAAAAAATATTTTATTTTCTTGCCTAGATTTCTCTGTTATTAAATGAGCCCTTCAGTTGACAGAATGACTAACTCTAATTTCAACAATTATTAATAATTAATTACAGTGATATTTCGTTTTTATTGTCCTTTGAAACTCTTAAATATTTCGCTCTTCCAATAACTATCAATAACTTTTGGATTTCATTCCTTTTTAAAATAAAATTCCTCAAAAACTTTTATATATTTAGTTCAACTTTGTTTACGGAGGTCTTGTACATTTTCTTATAGCAGCACATTTTCGTGTGAATCGGGGGAGTGGTCTTGAAGTTTTGTGGTTGTCGACAAAGTTTGGAAGTGTCGAGCGTTGTTAAAACATCGGATCATTAAAAATGATGGCATTATTATTTTTTTTTTCAAAAACGAACCTAAATATTAAAAAACGTTGTCCGAAACCGGCATATTTTTTCAAGGAATACAATGAAATTTGCATTTCGTAAATATTCTCGAAAAAAAGTAATTCATTAAAAGCTTTTTGAACGGTTTAATTGAAATGAAAATTTGAAAAAAAAAATTGTATTATACCATTATTGTAACCAAAAATATGTTTTTTTGTATAATACATTTTTTATAACTTTTCTCTCTCCGAATCATTCAGCGTTTTTCCTTTCCAAACCGAATAGAAACCAAAAGATATTCAAAATGGCCCTGTTTCCGACTACTTCAACACTTACTAGACAAACGCTCTAACCTTCCAATCAATTATAAAATTCTGATTTACATGACTATAATAAGGCCTATTTGGACTTACGGAGTTGAGCTATGGGGCTCCACCAAACCTTCAAATTCCTCTCGCATACAATCCTTACAATCTAAAATCCTTCGTAAAATCCTGAATGTTCCTTACTTTGTTACAAACAAAATTATCCATAATGACCTTAATGTTCCTTATGTATCAGATTTGGCCCAATCCAGATATCTGTCCTTCCATAATAAACTTCATAACCATCCCAACCCTCTTGTCTCTAACCTTGCTTCCTATTCGATTCCTGATAACCCTACGAAGCGTCTGAAAAGAAGATGGCCACTTGATCTTCTAATATAGACATATTATTAGAGTGCTATCAATGGGTAGTTTCTCAACATGTGTTCAATGTCTTTATACCAATGTGCGAATTTACCAGATGTATTTTTTGTATACAGTTGTAAATATCATATAAATAAATAACAAAAAAAAAATGGCCGTATATAAGTATTAATGTTTTTTTATTATTATTATTATTAAAATATTCAGTGATCGGAAATATTTGCAAAAAAATAAATAATTTCTAATTTTTTTTTTTTATATTGATTTGGATATTATAGTTGGAATTTATCAAGACTCATTTACCAGATTTCTATTGTGTCAAAACAATATTAAAACAACTCGGACCAATAACTGATGTATGGTTTGAGATGTTTTTAAGGTGTTGATATTCTTTTTTTTGTGCCTCAAAAAAACGCTAATACGTGAAATATGAACAAATGAACTTAAGTTAATAGGCTCTGAAGCAACTAGTAATTATATGATGTCTAGAGCAAAACGAAGATTGGAGGATTTCCTTAAGGTTGATATTTAGGAGTTGGGTTTTGATCCACTCGGGTTCACCAGGCCACCTATTTATAATTATTTAAGTAATAGTTTAAAATCGAAAATTTATTTAATTAATGTGTCAAAACTGTTTTATGTTTTTCATCGTCTGAATGGGATAGAGACTGATTAACTCTAGTCGGGGATTCCGAACTATACATTTTCAGTACATTTCAGAACTCCGGAAGCGTCAAATTATTCAGATTTATATTTTTATAAGCGGTTATTAAAAACCTGAAACTGTCCCTAATTAGATTCTTCACAGTTGGGGACTGGGAGCAAAATCCAGCTCGACTAACGAGCAGAGAAAATAGAAACTGTTCTTTATAGAAGCAAATCATTGAAGATGAGATCTGACAGGGCAGCGGCCGGCTGCTCGGGAGAAGAGAGAGACCCTCTAACTAGAGTTGATGTTGATACTGTTATAAAACACGAGATAAAACTAGGGGAGAGGATAAAAGGGCTAGGCATCCTGCCATTTTGTGTTTAAAATTTAAGCTTAAAATTAGCTTTATAAATATTGAACTCGGGTTAGTGACTCTCCTATTCTTTTCGTTGTAAGAAAAAATTATCATCAACTCCTTTTATTTTATTTTTTTTTCTTAATTATTTAATTAATTAAGAGGAAAAACCTTACCGTTGATCGTTTTCTCGGTCAAATGCATCATCACGAAACAATACTTCCTTACTGAGTACTTAACCTCGAAACACTTTCACTTAATTTATGTTAAGACTGGCTGAAATAGAAAAAATAAATTGAATAAACTTTTCTGACCATTCCCCATGTTATTTGATAGACGCTCCAAATTATTCTTAACTGAAAAACTGATAAGTCGTTGTACGATACAGGATCTCGTCAAACTATTTAAAGAATTTTGTTGATTCGGTCAAAAACATTGGATAAATAGGGGACTCGTATAACATCTTTTGTCACATCTTATGTCAGGCTCCGATACTGCTAAAATATTCTCCAAAAACTGCCTTTTAGGTCTTACAACATGGTCACTTTAGCACAAACAATTAGATCCACTAAGGGCACTAGCGGATCCAGGATTTCATTTTGAGGAGGCTTCAGCCCGAAAGCTTTTTTTTCTCATATATATATAATGATAACTACTCTAAAAAAAAAGAAGAAAGATACTAGCTACATATATGAAATGGTGTTTATGTGATTCTTGAAGTCTTATTAAATGTAATTACACGAACAATAATACTTTAAGAGATAATTTTTTACCAAAAAACATGGTCACATTTTACTATTTGGGGGAGGACTTCAGAACGAAGATCCCTCCTCCTCCGTAGATCCGCCTGTGAGCACGGACACATACATACATCCTACTACTCTTATGACCTTCGAGGGGTATGTGTTCGATTTCCTTATAGCAAAAATATTTTGCACGTGGTAGATTACATTGTCAAATTTTTTTCTGTGTTATACAATAATAAATACACATTAGCAGATCACAGAGTTAACTTTCTTTCTTCTTTCTCCCCTCCCTACTTCTACTCCTTATGCTGGCAGAGGACTTCCTGTACAACGACCGCTTTGGAATTTTTAATTAGAGCCGATGCTGTACAGACATCGACCTGGCAAGATGTCGGCCCTGGTAAATTACCCATTAACAATCCCGGCCAGAATTAGAATACAAAGGAAACAGATGTTTCTCAGTTTTGGCAGCTCCCCGCAGACCGCTGGGCGCTGGCTGCTTTCTGATGTATTTCGACGGGAGAGGAGGCGGTGCGTGGAGACCAGGTGGCAGGGCCGTCAGATCATGTCGGATATGACAGAAATTGCCGAATTCTAGGGAAACGTGTAATGGTTAATTTACCATTCCTCGTATTCCAGTTCGAGATTTCCTTCTTGTTCGAAGTAGAAATATTTGGGTCAGATGTATTAATCTAGTACGTTATTTTAGGTTTCCAGATTTTTATCTTATTATAAAAAGAAGCATAGGACCATTAACAAAATGAATGCGAGGAGCACAATATGATGCAGTTAGATTTCAAAGGCAACAGAAACTTTTATTTTGATTTTTAAAAAATTAAAATATTAAATATAACATAAAGGTGATAAATAGTCATGGCGCCGTCATTTTTAAGGTTTTTATTGGTACCGAAGTCTCAACCCAATAGTGTTGCCCAAATGCGAAACCTAGACAAGTCTTGATCTTGCGCACTCAGTCTTGGTCTTGCGCAAGAGTCTTGCAGTTACCTACTTGTTTATTACTATACAAATATTACTGTAGTTTTTCAGGGAGATGAAACCTAACTAAGCCCAAATGAAAAATTGTAAGAGTTAAATGAAAATTATTTTGTTTATACCATTTTTTTACATTATAGTAACTAAAATCGTTGAGTATTAGTAACTATTTTGTGTTAATTTTTATTTACAAAAACGATTCTTTTTTACCAGTCTTGGTCTTGGGCTACACTTTGAGCACTGAAGTTGTTCAAGTACCGGCCTATGATAAACAAGCCTGTGAAATATTTAATAATTTAAAACATGTTAGTGTTCAGAAATATCTAAAGGGCGATTTACATGATCTTGTTTCTCGAACAAAGCTTTGTCATAGAAATTGTAATTAAATACTTTTGACATTTTCAAGCACCTTGGAAGATCACCGCAAACTTCATAGACTTTTTTACATGTATTTTTTCTCGAATGTAGATATTGTAGTTAACAAATTTATTTGAAAAATATTTTGAAAAAATATATATTTTTATTAAAAATATTTTTAAAGGAGAAAATTTTGATGGGGTTTTGAATTTTCGTGGATGCACATTTCGACGGGGTTATGAATTTCTGAATAAAAAAGTTCAAACCAAGGGACAATGGGGAAACATGGACCAGACCGCATCAAGGATAATTTTATATATATATTTCTTGGCTTTCAATGTTTTTAAGAAGAGTAGAACAAACAATATCTTGAGAGGGAAGGTGTGCCATCGACCTTAGGGAAGATGGGAATCCCTTTTCAATTTCTATTATACTTTCGTATTTAAATCTTCAATGAAAAATCTTCATATTGTACTACATACGGATTAAATTAAATAAAATAAAAATTCATAGTGTGCGAATGTGCTCTCTGAACACCATTATAAACGTCCTTAATTGAGACAAATTCTAACATTTCTCAATAAATAAGTTTTAAAAAAATAAAAATTCCGTAGTATTGAATATTGAATAGTCATAAACAGGCTGAATAGTGGCAAAACTATTTTATTAAAAGCCAACATTTCGACCCGACTTTGCAGGTCTTCTTCAGGGCTAGAACGGACAAGATACAAAAACATATAGAGAATTGTGAAAGTTACAAAATATTTAGAAAAAAACTTATGAACAATGTGAAGGGTAGATATTGGGGAATTTGCTGACCTGTTTGGGTCAATGGGAAAAAACCCTAGAAAATTACAGTATCTAAAATTAGAAGATATGGATGGGTACAAGGGAAAAATACTATATCTATAAAATAATAAATTATAAATATATACATATACATATAAAATATAATTAAGAGATTATCTCTAAGAGTACAATGTCAATAAAGACAAAAATGGAAGAAGTAAAACATACATAGAAGTAAAATATGAATATAGAAATAAGAGACCATACATTGCAGAACTAATTTAGAAGTATTAAGAAGAAAAAAATATGAATAATTATAATTATATTTGGTAGTAAATATGTAAGAAAATTAAAAGATAAATTTAATTTAAAAATTAGATGATATTAAGACATGGTTAAAAAGTAAAATGAATACAAAGTGAAAACGGATTATCATACATTGATGTAGAATGTAAACATAAAATTAAAATTAAATGGATGTTTTAGAATTTGAAATGCGGGTTTCGAGATGGTTTTTGGTTTCGTCAATACAGGAGCTATTACAATTAGGAGTAGAATAAGGTATCCGGTAAACTACATTAGATCGGTGTTGTAAAAGTATGGGATCCTTCAAGTTCCAAAAAATATTCAGTACATAAAAAAATAACCTTAAACAAGAACAATACCTTGTGATTTGTGAAGCACATAAGTATTTACTTTAGAATATAATAATATGTTAAATTAATTCATGTAATTACATTTTTAACAAATTTTATAATAATTATTATTATGAGCTGATTCCAAAATATTCTCTAGTTTTAATTAAGGTTTTTGTCAGTTCTTATAGTATAATTTCGGGAAGAGAATTTAAATTTGAGATAATAAAACCTATTATTGTGAGGAACAAGCCATGTAATGATGTTGTAATAACCATTTAATATCAACCAATTCTGACACGAAGAATGCATATCATTTTGCCCAATTAAATTGTTAAATCCGTATATGGCATAATCACATTTCGGAATGGCCATAGGTCGGGCTTGTTCCGCCAATCTTGTGAGAGATTTCTTTTGGCGTAACAGGCTTTCATTATTAAATTATATTAAATAACTTTGTTTTTTTAAAATTATTCGGTGATGTTTAAAAGTCAAAATATTTATATACGCATTTCATATTTGCAGCTGTTTATAACATGCATAGTAAGAGAGTATTACAATCGTTAAAAAAATTGAATCTCAGTTTTTAACGGAATACACCTTTCAAAGGACCCCTGAGTCCAAATCTTGTAAAAACTTCTGTCTGGCTTGTATAAGAATATCCTATTACAAAAATGAAAAATCGTATGAAACAGAAATTAAGTATTTAATCGACTTAACACAAATATATATTTATTTCGGCGATTTTACAATTTTTTTTATGATTCGCTCAAAAACAGCTTTAACAATTTTGGTTAAACTAGTTATTTAGATTACAAATTAAAGTTACTTAAAATTAAATAAGCTTGTGCTTGCTGAATGGTCTGTCAGCAATCAAATCCTCAATTTTCATAACTGCTTTCTCTAAAGTACTATAATTTAGTTTATTTAAAATACGAAAATCTCAGTAATAACGAAAAGTAGATAAATATAAAATATGAAAATATTTGATAAATAATTAAAGTAGAATTTTTTTTCCCAGATTGAAAACAATTTTTTAGAAATTGGAGATGTAATACTGTATCGTTGGAAAGAAGAAAATGTTACGAAAGATTATATTTAATATAAAAAGGCAAAGGAAATAGTGTAGAGTAATCAAAATTCCAAATCAAAATCAAAATGATAGAGACGTTAACGACATGTGGTTGGTCATTGAGAAAGTTATTGAGAATACAGCAGAGGAAATTATTGGTCCCAACCAGATAGAAAGGAAATCACCTTGGTTAGACGATGAATGTAGCCAGGCCACATATTAGAAAAATGAGGCCTACAAAGTCATGCTTCAGAAGAGACATACCCGAGCTTCAGCTGATAGAAGAGCGCATACATCTACACCAAAAGTAAGATGGGAAAATGAAGAGCTTGAAGAAATAGAAAGATTAAGAAGTATCAATGAGTGCCGAATATTTTACCAAAAGGTGAACGATGGCCGAAAATTGTTCAAACTCCGGATCCCAGATCTGTAAGAACATGCATGGATCGTTGTTGAATGAGAAGACTAAGATACTAAGATGATGGAATAACCATTTTAATCACTTACATAGCAACAATCGGACCTTGGAGACTCGAAGAGAAGAAAGTGACCTAGTCGAACTCCTGAAGATGAACTCGAGCCCCAGACGGAGTTAAATTGTGCGAAGCCATTGACAAGTTAAAAAACAATGAGGCACCAGGCGTTGACAAACTGTCCGCCGAAATATTCAAGAAAGGTGGAGGTTGGCTATTCCTAGCACAACACAATCTACTTGTTGTGATTTCGTTAGAGGAAATGATTTCGAAAACTTGAAATAAGACAGTTTTGTGTCCTGTGCATAAGAAGGGAGACCTTCTTGAAAGCAATATTTATCGGGGCATCTCCCTCCTTCCATGTTCCTATAAAATATTCTCTAATATTTTGTACCAACGATTGCTGCCTGATGTTGAGAACAACCTTGAGAAATATCAGTGTGACTTCTGTAAAGGCAAGTGTGCAACCAATTAGATATTCGTCTTATGAACCATTCTAGAGCGTGTCAGAAAATACCAGATCCAAAAAAGCACGATCTATTTGTGTATTTTAAGTCTGCATACGATAGTATCCAACGCAAGCAGCTGTATCAGGCAATGAAAGACCTCCAGATATCTGTTACCAGATAGCTCATCCACCTGGTAAAACTGATGAGGAGGCACATCAAATATGTGGTGGGTATCCAAGAAGACCTATCTGAAAGATTCATCTCTGATAACGGTGTACAAAAAGCAGGTTCACTTGCCTGTTTGCTTTTCAATATTGGTATGGAAAAATCTGTTAGGAATTCAAAGATCTAGACCAGTGGAATGATTTTTAACCGTACAGTAAAGCTTTTGGGTTATACTGACGACATCGACATTGTTGGAAGATCAAAAGCTGCAGTAGAAGAAGCCTTTCTTGCTCTTGAAAAGACTGCTAAGAAGCTAGGACTTTCTGTTAATAGCCATAAGATCAAATATATGATTGCTGGCCAGCCCAGGCGTCCTGATGAAGATTCTGTCCAGATTGGTCCTTACTCATTTGAGCGAATCGATGAATTTGTGAACCTAGAATCACAAGTTAATGCAGGTAACAACGTTTCAGATGAAATAAAGAGGCGATTAGCATCTGCCAATAGATGTTATTTTGGACTGATATATTATTTATTGGAAATTAAATATTTTCATGGAAACTTTTAAAATTTATTTCAAGCTTGTCAAACAAAAAACCGAATCGCATTACTGCAGTTACATATAAAACTAAAGTCATCATCCTAACCTTTTCTAAATTTTACAAGTCACCACTTTACTTTGTATTTGATCTTCATTGTTTCCAACATGGCCTTCGTTGTGTGGTCTTAGTGGAACTGATCCTCTTCCTCTAAGCGTGCTTGCTATTTTTTTTCTTGTTTGTTCAACAATCACAGAAAGTGTACCAATAGTAATGA